CTCCTCCTCGCTCCACTTGTCCTCAACTCCTCCTTCATTGTCGTCATTCTCCCGCCCATTTTGATCGTCTTCCGTCACGTCGCCACTCCACCCATCGCTGCCATCACGATCAGTCTGGTCAGGCAATGATACAGATTTGTCAATTGCGTCGTCTGGTGAAAGGGTGGATTGGGAAGAGGCGACCACAAGGGCGTCAAAAGAGTCTGTAATCGGCCCAGTGAGCACTGCATCACTCTCACTATGACCACCGGCCGAGGGAGTGTGTGTTGAGAAGGAGGCCGCCTGACTGGCTCCGGTGCTGGAGGTTGGGGTGATATCTCCAGAACTGTTGTCTTCCATGTGCCTGTTTGTCTTATTCCAGAAGACTAGTGCAGTTTTCCGCTTTCACTTTTCGTCATTTCTCTTCTCTTTTACTGCACTTCGTAGAGGTGAGCTAATCACGTCACTCCTAAATGGAATAGAGCTTTGCAGCTCACCTGTGCATAAGTTCTTGTGCAAACCGAGATAGAGGCAAGGGGGTTAACAAGTTGGATTATGTGTTTGTGATACAATATCCTAATAGAGCAAATTGTTAAATGAAGCATAGCTGAATATTAAAAAGTCTCTTAATTCTTTTATTCCAATCTAAATATGTTTGTTTTCTATGCGTGTTTGTGAATGCATATTATGTATAAGAGTTTAATCAGTTTAGGTCACAGAAGCTGCTTTAAGGACTGATAAATGAGTTTTTCCCACAATTAGATTAATAGGCCAAATGATGCCGGTGAATTTCATTGGTTTTGTCCCCCCCAGTACTTATTTCATACATTGAAGATATGAAAACCAAGATGTTGTGGCCTCGGATATGGTCGCAGTCTCCTTTCGATTTATAGAAATGAGTTGACCTAGTTGTCGCAACTTCTTCTTGTTGTCAGGGCGACTTAGTAGAACTCACCTAGTCCGAAGTCGTTGTCATGAGTCCAGGCATCAGACCGTGGTCATCAGTCAGTTTTGTCATTCTCCGCCACAAGCTACGAACTCGTCAAAGAGACAGGCGAAGTCAATCCCTTGACAAACGTTCTGCCGAAAACGGTTACACTATCACTCCTCTTTCTGTACTGGCCTATCTATACACTCTTTACCCTCCTATCCAACTCCCAACACATCGCAACTACTCACTTGCTAACATTCCACTCGTCAAAATGTGTGGCAAACGGAGTGTGGCCTCATCACACTTGCTATTCAGCCTGACTCCTCCTCTTTCGATCGGCGGATCCAACTCGGGCCTCCAATCCGGAGCCCCTCATTGTCTCGTAGATCCGATCCTTCTCTTTCTGGTTGACCGATTCCACTCGGTTCCAGTCCCAGTCTGCGTTTTGCCCCAACAGCTATTTCTCAAGGCCCTAGAAGCACCTACACTGCCGCTTCACTGAGCAGAGTGCCTAAGCCATGCTTGCAAATGTCAGGCCTTCCCTTCGCGGGTCGTCGCCTTGATCAAACCCATGTTATCTGGTCGCATGCGGCATCTCAAGTGGATTTCTAGTACATTTTGCCATAACACCAAATTTCTGTGACGGTTTTTTTATCCTTCTGCCTATTCTGTTTATTCAAATGGCCATCACTCACTGCCATATTCGCTTTATTGCCGAAAACTCCCGACCCCCCCCTTTCCTCATCGCGATCCCTTTTCTTCCAGTTAACAAGCGATCCTTGATCCAGACGACTCCTTTCTGCTCGTCTTGCTCCATTCTTGTTTTCACCGAGTTTGCTTAGGCAGTAGGCAAAGTTGTCGCTAACTTTACCTTCCGCCAATCTCCTGTTCATTAGATTTGTCTCCCCAACGATGTCAATGGCCTCCCGAATCTTCCGCTTTCTTGTGTTGTCACCTCATGGGGCCCTTCTTTATTTTGCCTTCCCATTGAGCTCGTGTACAGTTTGTGCGATTTGTTCCGCTAGCTTTGATCTTTCAGTATCCATTTTCCTGCAGAGCCTCTGATCTTCCTTGATTCGTGTGCTGATTTTTATCCCTGTTTCGCCAACATATTTCTGTTTACATGCGCCGCATGATATACAGTAAACTCCAGAACAATCCAATTTATCTACACTTTCATATTACGTCGGTAGACTTGTGAAAAATGTTGATTTCTCTTTCATAGCCAGCTGAATATTCTATTTCCTCAATAATGACCGTAA